TTTTGTTTTTAAATATTTTAGTAAATTTAAGCAAAAATCATTAAAAATGAAGGTCAATTCTAGAGTTAAGATATTTATTATGAAAGGATAAGACTATGTTTTTTTTTTATTTAAAGGAATGGAAATTGTATTTTTTAAGTATTAAGAATCTTAGAGTTTCATATAAGAAGAAAAAAAATGAGACTTTATGAAAAATCTTCAAAACTAATATGAATTTAGAAAGTGAAGGAATTTTATCAATTTATAAAGTGAAGGAAGGTAAGAAATTTTTAACTTCAAGAAGAGGATAGTGAAGTTCAAAATTATTAAAGGTTATCCAGATATAGTAATCTTTACATGAAAAGAAAAAATAAAAAAAGGATTGAAAATGATCCTAAAGAAAAAGAAAAGAAATAGAAAAGAAAAAGGAAAAGAAAAGAAAAATATGTGAGGAGAAGCTTGAGTAGATGCCTAATAAAAAATTGGTTTCATTTGAATCAACATGAGGAAAAAGACTTTATTATATTTTCTAAATTTTTATTTGAGTATTAGCATCCTTCCTAATAAGGTTCTCATGAAATTCTTTTTCAAATAGACATTCTAAGTATCTTTGATATGACAAATTATAGTTCTTTTTGAAATGAATAGAGACTCATAAATCTTATACTTGACTACTTGGTGTTCTTATACTTTTAGTTTTAACCTAAGTTATTAGAAGTTTTTCTTAAGTTACACTATTATATTTATTAAACCAAATTATAGAAGTTTATAAGTTAATCTCTACCATAAGTCATATTTTTATGTAGTGAAAGAGTCACTTTAGGATAAGTAACATTTAAATTTGGGGATTTTAATACAAAAAATGTGCAATTTTATGTATAAAATTTATGCTTAAATTTGGTGATATTGCACTTTAAAGAAGGGTATTTTCATATTTTGTTGCAGGTATATTGATTTTAGGCATTTGAAGCAAAAAGAGAAAAAAGGAAGAAATTTGGAGTCAAAATGCAGTTTTTCAGCATACTGGTACTAAAGGCGCCATTTTACAAAGAATAGGCCTTAAAATCCAGAGAAGAGCACGGAACTCCAGTAAACTGGTGATAGGGGCGCCATAGATAAATTAAGACAAATTATGGTGATATTGATTATTTTTCAGAGGTTCTAAAAGGCTCCAAGTAATTTATACGCTCCATTGAGTGGTTTAATGCATCTAGACATTTTGGAATGCCTCTTGAATGAAGAGGTATGTCTCTTGGAGAAAGGAATTTGTCTCTTGATGTGAAGCGGAGTGCCTCTTGAGAAAAAGGAGGGAATTTTGAATTCCTTTGAAGACAAGGCTAGCGCCTCAATTAAAAATAAGAAGTCTAGGAGGTCTTCGCCATGTGTGGTATGGTGGTGTGAAGAGTGTGGCGAGAGAAGTTTTGGAGGAAATTTAGGTTTTGGGAGGATTTTCTTCTAGAGTTGTAACTGGAGAGGGAAGGTGAGAGAATTCATCTTCATTACATTTCTAAGAGAGATATGAGTGTGATTGTCAAGAAAGAAAGTGCTTAAAGGTAACTTCAAGGGATATGCTTGAGGAAGAGTGTGAGATAAGTTGTGTTTTTTTTTTCTTTTTTGTTTTGTAAACTTGTTTTTATATATAAAATTAATGTTATATTGTATCCTTCTCATGCATTCTGAGTAGTCTTCTTTATGCTTCTCTCTATAATGAGATATGGTTTTGCGAAAAATTAATATTATTGTGTAAGGTTTTAAATGTCAATAAATTGTGATGATTCAAACTCTGATCTTCATTTACTTTTTGATCTGACCGATTGAAATGTTAAAATTTGTTGAGATTTGTTGAGAAACATAAACATAAGATCTGAAAGGGCTATATTTTCTACAACAAGGTAAGAGTTACATTTAATTTCTTGGGTGAGAATGTAGTCCATGGGGTTCAGTGAAAATGAATGGGGAAATATATTTTGATGGGCGTAGAATTCTAGATTTTAGTGTGACGGACTAAAATCTCCAATTTGGTCCAGTTGCTTCAAAACTAAAATGAGATTGTTAGCCCTCAGCGGAGGGAGAAATGGGAGTTCTGGAGTGGGAGCCAGTACCCTCTCAACTTAACCACAAATTTAGTGACCAAACTCTTGATTAGCCAATGATTTTTACACACTCAATAAATGGTAAATAATAGGATTGCTCATATTTAGCACAATACATTTTATATATAATTATAAATGATTATAATTACTTCACTAACTATAAACTCATTGTAAAGGGGAATGATGATTTCTTAAATTTGAACTCTTTGTTACAAAACTTTGTTTAGTTTTAGTAAGTTTAAGTTTGAAGTTTAGAAAATAGTTTAATTTACTTAGTTCTTTTAGCTACATTTCGTTTAGCATACATTAAATTTACTTTAGATTTGTTTTTCTTACTTAAGTTTTTATAGTTTGATAATTTGGTTTTACATTATAACCATAAGAATTTCCATCTCCCTGTGGGATCAATACTCAGGACTCCATTTGAGCCCTTTATTACTTGAGTGATACGTATACTTGCGTAATCATTAGGTTTGACAGGTTAAAGATTTTAAAATATAAAATTATTTATACTGAAGTAATTTTATTGTGATTGACCTATATTTTTACTAATTGTGTTGTCGTGTGTGCGTTGTAGTATTGAAAGATATTTACAGCACATACACACAAAAACTCGGATCACCTATCATATTTATTCGCAGACCAATACTGATATCCAACACTTTCTTTGTTCGAGTAGTCAAACCCCTCGGTGATGCGCTTGATTATTCGAACACTCTGAATATTTGAATCAACATGACATCCAAAAGCCACGTGTCAGTCAGAGAGTAGCAAAAAATAATAACACAAACTTCATTGGGGGAAACAATTTCTTACATGCATATATATATATATATATACACATACATATAATTATACATACCACAAAAAAGTATTCTATTGTAGTCTTTGTTTCTTTCCCTTTATCGTTGTCATCAGGATAGTAGATTTTATCATCTTTCTTTGCAAAAAAATGATGGTTGAGTTCCCTTAAGTCTAAATTTTGGTAACTCACTCATGCGAAATGTAGATGGTATTACATAATTCAGTAACTCTCAGATCATAGTCAATAGTGTTTTTATCTAATTCTTTGCTAAATCGTACACTTGCATGCACTTTATTTTATTGTTATATTCTTTACATCGGGTTCCCTCTCGGTGAAAGCTCCTTATCTAGTTTTTGAAATGATCCATACTCACTTTGCATTAATTTTAAGATGTTGATCACACCACTTTTGTGGACCTTATTTTTCTTAGGGAATGATGTGAAAGAAATGTCATCACCCATCTGACTAAGGCTTTTTTTCTAGTGAACCCCTTTATTCTCCTTTTTTAGAGTTACGAATGATCAATCCACATGAAAGAATGCAAAAAAGATACAAAAAATGAGATTAAATTGACTAAAATACAATTATCTACATGGGTGCAGCCAATCCTGTTGTGGGAAGATGAGATTGAATGATGAAGGCTTGCTCTTTGTCCTCGATGAACGATCAAGAAATACATGGTAACTTGTACTTAACAGTTGGTACTAGGTTGTTGGAACTGGACAACTAACACTTGACACAAGATGCTTGAAAATAATTGGTACTCGACAACTTGCACTTGACATCTGGTACTCAGCTACTGGTACTTTGTAGCAAGTACTAGGTAACTAGTACTCGACAATTGGTATCAACAACTGGTACTAAACAATTGGTACTTAGTATATAGGACTCGGTAATAAGCACCAGGTAGCTAGTACTTGATTACTGGTACTCAGTTGCTATTACTCGGCAACTAGTCTGACTAGAAATAGAACCCCCACTAAGCTGAAGTGAAGGGATGAGGATTATCGAATTGGCATTGTTATTGGCCCCATAACTTCTTCAAAGATACATGTATATTCCCTTCCCTAACACGTGTTTGGGATACTTATTGTGCTTTGCCAGCCTATGTGTCTTTATTGATATATAATAATAAATATATCACATCTAGCATTGTTGAATAAGGAAATTAAATTTAAGAAAATATTTTGTATTTACCCACAAAATTTATAGTTCTACGAAAAGAATAAATTTACAATATAAAATCTAAATCTCATCGTAAAAATTGTAATTCATTTTTCAAGCCAAGTTTCTGTTTGACAAAGAAATATTGATGTAACCTTTTTTATTTAAAAAAAAAATCAACCCTAAATTTAATTATTCAAAATTGAAATTTCCAATCAATAAATCTATAATTAAAATTGTGAGAACAAAATAGAACAGAATTGCCATCAAGCCAACCAAGGAATAAAAAAAAATTGATTTTTTATTGGTGGTTTAAGGTCGGTCAATGTGCAGCTCAGTAGAGCGGGAGTCAAATAGCACACAAAGGGACGAATGGAGAAACTAAGGTTCAACCGATGACGGTTGGGCCATTAAAAAAGACTCACTTATGTTCCACGAAATTTCCTGTCCAACGAAAATTTAATTATAGCCGTCGACTTCTAAATACTCTTTTGTATTTTTCTAGATTCACCACCTTCGAATTTTATAAGAATAGCTTAAATTCTGTCGCGTATGCCGTTCTACCCTTTAGTTGAGCAATATCCTTCTCATTTAGCCATATTTCATTAGTTTACTTTTTGAGCTCGTAAGTCCTCGCACCTTAGCAGCAGGAGAAATATTTAAGTACGGAGAACGCACGTAGCGCTCTTTGTGTAATCCCCTCCCAATAACTTCTAAATAACTTCTAAATAACATCTGCGAAGGTTATTGTTGGGTTATTGCAGAGTATTGCGGAATATTTTCGGCGTTATTTGAAGTCAATATCCTCAGCAGTTACATTTTCATAATCTACTATTATACTTTTATATTTTCTCGGTATTGATTGAGAAGTTATTGGGAGAAAATTATGCACCTGTTCTCCACAGGTAAATATTCCTGTAGCAGCAGGGTCATTTTGGGCAGGAGGACAACCGCGGCTGTGTATCATTTCTCATATAGCACCCGCTTGACTTTCTCTACTTATTTATTCGAGAACTTGCCCCTTATGCTGGATTTCAGCACCTCCCCCAAGTGTCTCCATCGTCATCGCTTCCCTCCCCTCTTTCTCCGACTCTAGTTTCCTCTTCTCTTCTCTTATCAGAAACATGAGCGCTTTGAGCATGATAGAGGCAAGGCTGCCTCCAGGTTTTCGGTTTCATCCACGAGATGACGAGTTAGTCTGTGACTACCTTGAAAACAAAATATCTGGAACCGAAAATGGAACTTTTCACTGCTGCCTCATGTTGGTCGACGTTGATCTCAACAAGTGTGAACCGTGGGAACTTCCAGGTTATTTTTTCATCACTGCAACCAAGACTTTACTCTTCTATTTTAATTTGTTAACACATAAACTGCTATGTTTTTCTGTGTGTTTTTCTATGGTTTTTGGTGCATATGTTCGTCTTTGTGCTTTGATTCAGATATTTTTATTTTGCATGCTTAAATTACTGGAGCTAATCTCGCCTTCTCTGATCTTCTATCTGTATGTGGTTGCATGTTAATTCGACATACTGATATATAATTTTTTTGAATCTATGTAAAACGATACTGCAATTAAGAGAACAATTTTATGTCTAATACTGCATGAGATTGTAAGCTGTAGTGAGGTTGTGATTACTTAATATAAAGAAAAAAAAAACACTTTTCTTTCACTTTTGTATGCAGTTCCCAGTAGAAGTACTCGTCTTAAACTTGAATATCAAACTTAGGAGTTATTAGCGCTATCAAAATAGGTCCTGCTTTGGCGAATAAGATTATGCATATTTATTCTAATTATTGTAACCTTCACCTAAATATTAATCCTTTTATATGAAATTATTAGTTTTTGTAAAAGGCTCAATGACCTGGTGATGGGAGGCTTTGGCTCCCCAAAAATATTTTATTTTATTAGTTTAATTTCCTCTCAATATTAATAGTTCTCTAGAGGCTTTTTTGGATTTATTCTAAGGGATATGCCTTTTTGTTTGTTTTTTTATTTTTTTTATATTCTGTTGGAATTATCCTTTCCTGCTAGTGCTTCATACTGATTTATTTATTTCTCCAACTTGAAATTAATATTTGTATAATGTTCCATACTTTTCCTTCTTAATTTCTGCCATGGGACATATTAGCTTTGCCGTGTTTGCTTCCATAATAGCACTCTAACTTTATGCGTATAGTTCCACGGCCTTATATATAGTTGTAGAAACTAGAAAATAACCCTTACGTGATCAGAAATGATAGCTTTTAAGTCAGTCTCCTATTTCTAGAAACCAGAAACTAATATGAAAGCTCAAAAACAACAAAATAAGCATTTCTTGTTTATTCAAAAGTCATCATTATTAGTAGAAACCTAAAACTGAAAGCTACAACTTTCCTGCCAGTTTATTCGTTCCTGTAAAGGAAACAATTCCTAAATTTTGTGAATAATATGTAAGATATGTTTTTTTATTGCTTTTTTATTATTATAAGATTTGGTACTGTAGATTGAGATTTCTTGTAAGATTAAAAAATTGAGCAACATGTCTCTATCATTTGCAACGATCTATTCAAAAAAAGATTTAAATTGTGATAAATATATATACATGATGTTTATCTTTTTAGTCCAAAAATGAGTCCTTTTACTTTTATTGCAGAACAGCTTGTTTTTGCACAATTTCCGTAAGTTTCTCACGGAAGTTTTGTAGTTAGGATAACGATGTAGTGCAACTGAATATTGATTTCCTTTTTTTTAAGACTGACAATTAGGTTGTTATTAATTCATATTATTATTCACTGTTTCCATTCATATAAATTTTTATTTGGCTTCAACAACCATAGCTTCATTCATCTTTTCAAAAATCAATTTTCACTTTTTTTTAAGAGATCATTTGGTTCTTTTACATCCATTATATATGTTATATTATTATATATTAGAGAATGTCAATTATTCCATTCACCAACATCATTTACTATTAATTTTATAAATAATATTTATGATCTATTCTAGATTTCGATCGGTATTATTTTTCTAAATCTAATTGCCAGGTTACATTCATTTGAATAAATGCATAATCTTATTCACCAAAGCAGTACCTATTTTGATAGCGCTAATGAGTTAAGCTAGATATTCAAGTGTAAGACGAGTACTTATAAGAAAGCATTCTTTCAAATGGGAACTACAACAAAAGTGAAAGAAAGTGTATTACTTCACTACAGGTTACTATCTCATGCAGCATCAGACAATAAATTGTTCTTTTAAATTGCAATATCGCGCTACAGAGAAATAAAAAAAATGATATTTCAGTGTGTCCAATTAACATGCGACCACATAGAGCAGAAGATCAGAAAAGGCAAGATTTGTTCCAGAAATTTAACCATGCAAATAAAAGGTATCAGAATCAAAATACAAAGACACACATGCACCAAAAAACATAGAGAAGCACAGAAGTAATTAGGAAAGAAAAATAGCAGTTTGTCTTATTAAATTAAAATAATTCGAATATATCATTTGTTACATCAGAGTGCTTATTTTACTCTAAACTATATATATCAATTCTTTTTGTCATAGCTTTGGCTCAGCTAAAATCCATTAGCGTTAATCATAAAATTTTTCATTAAGTGTAATAAACACATAAGAATTGTGTGGTATGTACGTAAATTTCCAAAAATATTTTGAAAATTGGATCGTTATAATCGTTTCAATTAATTTAGATATGTAATTTATTATCGAAACTATTCATACATTTTATACTGTCTCTCTTTCTATATGTGTGCGCGCGCGCACGCGTGGGTGTAGATATTTGACGGGCATAGATTGAGACTTGGCCGATCAATTGTCTACCGCCCATTAATAATTGGGTTTAAGCATATTTCTTGCCTAAAAGAATATGTTCGACCTAACTGAATTATCTGGTATTTTAAACATCCCATTCGATGTACTGCATCGGGTTGTGAGGAAGATTGTTTGTTCTTCGGATTATTAAAGGGTTATTTTCTATAGAAATATTGGTTTATTTTGCTTAGGTTACCACCCACTATTTGTTGTACTTCTTAGGAATCTGTAGGCTATAATAGTTTGTGAATAATATTAAAAATTTTAGTGGTATACAACCAAGTTAATGTTTACTGCATTACACTAATGAAACTCCAGAAATTTTGATTTTTTTAATTATTTAATACTCCTAAAGTCGATGCTTATTATTATTTTTTTTTTTTGGGTTTTTTGCAAGACGCTTTTGAATGTTCTGACATTTGTTATTTAAAATTTTAAATTATCTTGGGCGAGTATTCGATTGGTTCGGATGGTTTGAATTTTAAATTGATCAAATTGATTGCATTATCAAAGATCAAAAAAGTATAACCAATTAAAATTTTGATAAAACCGAATTGCCAGAATTTATTTAGTTTAAATGATGAGGAATGAGCCAGCATAAAAGTTTTGTCGAAAAGCTATGACAAATAATGGCTTACAAACAAACTAAAATTTAGTTGTTGATTGGACTTCGATTTTGAATAAACATCAATAATTATATATCTTATATGTACAATATCAAGTAATTTCATGATTCTTCCATTTAATTTTAAATCTTCAATTTTTTGGTTATTTTTTAAACTAAACCGAATAAATTAAATTTGTAATTATTAGTTTAATGTTTCGGTGTTGGCCAAATAATGCACACCTCTAATTATCTCTAATCATATATCTATAAATATATGTATGTATAAATATATATACACACATATATATATACATACATATATATATATACATACATATATATTAAAAGAAATGGCCGGAGGCTATTAGTCGAACCCCAACCATCCCTAATGCTCCTAACCTCTCAAGTACCACACCCTGCACATGGAGGTTCGAACCCCAGACCAGAGGGGACTTACACCGCCGAAATGGATGCTCTACCAACTTAGCTAAGAACGCGGCGCGCACGTACTGTGCATGTCGGTAGTGCAGCCTCTCTGAAGGTAATAAGTCCTCTCAAGTCAAAGGTTCGAATCCACCCATATGTAGGGTGTAGCACTCGAATATTTAGCACACCTAAGAATTTCCGGGGCTCATTTAATAGCTTCGGTCATCACCTTTAAAATATATACATATATACATACATATATACATATATTTATATAGATATATAAATGTATAGATATATGTATATGTATATGTATATATGTATGTATAAAAGACAATTAGTCATTTTGAATGCAGAATATATGATAAATTTTGAACCTCACACTCTATTCCACGTCAATATCTCACCCCAGTCCTATCGAACAACTAACCCAGTTTCGTTGTCATTTTATTATAGTTGTGGGTCTCTTTCATAAATTGTTTCCTTGCCAGGATCACCTAGCCCTCATTTAGTTATCATCCCATGAACTATGCATCAATTGGTATCTAATTTGTTAGTGCCTTACTCCTCTCATTATTATATATCAATGCATCATCAATTGTTTTCACCCGACTATGTATCCCGCTTGTACTAATTTTCTTTCCTGATTCTTTTCATGTGAAAATGTAGGCAGTATGACAATCCTCTTAAATTTGCATATTAAAAAATGTGTGTAGTAAAGGCCACTCCTCTGCCAAGTTCTTTATTTTATTAGTTCATTTTGTTAATGTCAAGACAAGAAGTCAAAGTGTCAATCCATATTAAGACTTTGAGCTTATATATTTTCAAACATATTACCTCTCAATTTCGTTATGTTTACCAAGTCATCTATTATCAATTAAATGTCATGCATAATGTTTGTCAATTAAAATAAAATTCACACATGGTTATTTATTACTTCCTCAATTATCTCATTTCATCCTCTTGAAATTATCTTTTCTAAGGTATGGGCCTCACCTATTTATTATATTTATGACTTTAAATACTATATTATTATTGTAGACTAATTCAAAAATTATACAAGACATTATTATTATGCCAACACTCACTGTCCACACTTCATCTTACCTACTTCATCTTATAAACTTGATACACTTTCCAATTCATATGATTTAATTTACTTGTTACTGTCTCACTTAAAATGCCAATCTTTAAATATCTTAATCCGGCCAAGTTAGATATTTGTACTTATTATTTAGAAAAAAATTATTTTAATCACTTTTCCATTCATATCTTCCATAATAATTTAAGCTTTCTTAAGTCATAAGTGATTTGGATTTAGCTAACTTTTATATTAGGTTACTGATGAGACTGTAATTACTTAAGAGTTACCAAAATATGAGTTAATGATGAGACTGTAATTACATGATTGCATTTATTACCATTAACTAATATCAAAAAGTAATTAATTATTCTTTCAAATATTAACAACTTTTAACACATCAAAAGAAACTCCAAAATAAATGGTCAAATTAATTTAAAAATAAAAATAAAGTAATTTTAAAATAAGTATTGTTTTCTAGTATAGTTGCATTTGTGTTATATAGATTCTCTTTTTCCTCCAGTTATTTATGTTGAGATTTTATCCTAACAATATGAATTTAAAAAATATATATGAGCTTTGGATAAATTCAGTTAATACGTCATAAATCTAAACTATAATATTTTAAAATGAGTTTGGAAAAATTAATGTATTTTTATTAAATAAAATAAATTGACAAAAAAATTACTTTACTTTATTTTATCGTAACTATAAAAATGTTGGAGATCATGAACATTAATTAATATGAGTGAGTAGAACTCAATGTATAGCTTTTCTTTTTCATTTTCTTTTTATTTACTTATTTTTATGAAGTTATTTTCAAAAATTATACTATTTAAGCTACTTCAAAGTCAATATGTTTCTTAATTTTATTTTAGTTTAACTTCCCTGACTAGTATTATCTAGAGGTGAACTCCATTAATCGATATCTACATAAGATAAAAAGCATACTGAGATAATTATAAAATTCATTTAAACATGTCAAATAATTTTAATAGAAAAGATAATTATGATTAAATTTATAGTAAAATATTATCTAAATAATTACTTTTTTCATTAATTACATGCATTTAAATTTGGAGAAGCAATATTTTTATAATTATAATATAGAAGAAAAAGTATACACTGAAAAGATTTAGAAATATTATTTCTCAACCTCAATTTCATCCTAGATTTTTCAAGTAGTTTTTCAAATAGTTTAAGAATAAGATAACTATGGAATATGATCATTTAAAATATCACTTGTTTTATCAAATTTGATTTATGTTTACTTAATCTTACTTATAGTCATTCATAGAACATAAATCACTCATTAATTCCTAACAAATGTGTTACATTGTATTTATAACTTATGAGTCACTAGTATTATAAATCATTCATATATATTTTAATTAAATTTATAATAAATTATAAGTGAATGTTTCCTTTCGAAAACTATAATGCAACAATTCGTTAATTCTTATTTATAATATATAGAATCAATGTTCAGAATTTTATACCTTAATGATTCCAATTATCTTTATTTATAAAAAAATGAAAAATAAACACTACTTATAATCTCTATAATGATTGAATTAATCATATAAAGCATATAAAATAAATTTCATATTATATTAAATTCATGAAGTTTCAACTTTTTTTTTAATATTAACTATTCTTAATTAATATAAATTGAAACTATGGGATTCCATAATTTTTTTATGTTTATCTAAATCATATCTAAATGTTCCATTTTTTCCTCTTCCATTTTCGAAGGCTCTAATGATTTTATATAAAATAAATCTCCCTCAAAAGCCTAATAAAAAGAATTATCTTAAAGTATAAAGCAAATTTAAGCTTTTTAAATTGAACTTTAAACACTAAATCAAACCTACCTCTGAACTCAAAAAAAAAATCCTTATAATTCTCTCAACCCCGCTCACTTGACTTTGTGTAACCCCTTTTGCTTACATGTCATATTATCATCTTATTCTAGCTCTCTATTTTACTCGATCATGCTCTGCACCTCCTTAGCTCTCACTTCTTGTTTACCCATATAAGGTTTATCCCCTATGTTTCTCTCCTTTTAAAATGCAAAATCGTTGGTATTTATTCAGTTAATTGATACTACATGATTTCAATACGTCTTTTTTTAGTAAAATGTGATTTCGTAAGTCAATCCAACTTTATGATTGCCACTCCTCTGCATAAAGCATTCACATAATCTAACTCCAATCAATTGTACTCTATCCTTTGATCAATAGAATGTTTTACTCAACCCATCGTCACTCCTTAACCCCCTCTAAAGCCATTTCCTATAATTCTTATACTTCTAGAAATCATATTTAACCCAACAAAAACTCATAACGTGTCTGGAATAGCTAAAACTAACATTTACAAACTTATTCAAAAATTCATCCTCCCCACCACCCTCAATAATATCAATGACCACTTACCCGTACAATATAAGACTTCAAATATCCAAAATAATAGTGATCCATGTTAAAATATTTTGATTCTCTTGTTTAAAATAATTCATGAGAAGTTCTTGTATAATTGAATTTTGCGTGCTAAACATCTTATTCCATGATCATTTTATAGATAGATATAAAACCCACTTAGTGTTTAAGGGGTTTCACCATCGTTTAAGGTTTGATTAGTATAGTATTTTCAACATAATGATCAGGCGCACCACTGCATGCATGTCTTGTTCTTAATCTTATTATGAAGCATAGTTAATACTTATGGTAACTAGATCTTAATAATGCCTTATTTAAGAGTATTTATCAGGCATATTCATACCCCAGTCATGAGGATTCAATAATCAACTATTCATCTCATATATATATGTTTCAAAATATTATATATGGCCAAAATAACAATTTTATTCCAAGTATAATTAATTATACCAACTTCTTATCACGTATGCATTCACTAACATAAATACAATACCTCTTCCATCCAAAATATGAACTTATCAATCTTTTTCTCTAATAAGGTGGTATCAGAGCCATAATAACCTTGAAAAAAAATGAAAAAAAAAGAATGGCTCCCATATAACTTCTTATGCTCACCAAGAGTGATTATAAAAGTTTGAGCATCAAGATGAAAGCTATACTACTAACAGAAGATGTTTGATATCATTAAAAAAAGAAGATTATAGTGATTAGAATGATGTTGGTTTATCCCAAGAGAACATGAAAGCCATGAATGATTTAAGAAAAATAATAGTTAACAAATCTAACTCATATTTCAAGTTTCAAGTGGTATATGAAGATGGATTTAAGAAGGTTTCAAGTACAATTGTAATTAAAAAAATTGGAGAAAGGTCTCACACTTGATATAAGGCAGCCGGGCAAGTTAAAAATTTTTTTTTCAAACCCTTAAAATATCTTCTCCAATAATTTTATATTTTTTTTAGATTTGCCTCTATTCATTCATTGTTACTCATTTGATGCTCTGATTCTTTTTGTAAAAAAATATTTAGTATTGAATTGAGGTGGAAGGAAGAACTGTGTCACCCGATCCACTCATGTCTTTGCCTCTATGAACAATAAAATTATATGCGTCGAAAGTTGTTACTCTTATATTATTGTTAACAATTTACTCTTAAACATTAATGGAATTAGATACATATTTATAATTGTTTTGAACTTTCATGAGCTATGCTCGTATAAACCATGCCATTATTAATTTAGTGCAATTTTTTATTTAAAAGTTCCAACAGAAGTTCTTAAATTTCATGGATAATCTAACTTAAAAAATAATATTAGTACTTATATGGTAACACATTTTGAAATAAAGTATACTTGAAGTCAAAATTTAGCCATAATTTATTTTATGTAATGTTGTTACAGTTGTGCAACCATGAATCTTAATTTCATTATAGATTTAAATGGGCCAAAAATTAAATAATCAATCTTTGATGTTGTGATGACTATTACAGAAATCGCATGTGTTGGAGGAAAGGAGTGGTACTTTTTTAGCCTTCGCGATCGAAAGTATGCCACAGGGCAACGCACAAATCGAGCAACCGAATCTGGTTATTGGAAGGCAACAGGGAAAGATCGACCTGTGATGAAGAAGGGAGTACTTGTAGGAATGAGGAAGACTCTAGTATTCTACGAAGGAAGAGCCCCTAAAGGGAAGAAAACCGATTGGGTCATGCATGAGTTCAGAATAGAGACAAATTCAAAAAATTCAACAAATCTTTCCACCAAAGTATGTATGTCCTCTAATTTTCTTTATCAATTATTTGTTTACAAATATGAGCATTTGATGCTTATGCAGTTTTAATCATATTTTAGTATTTTTCCAATGAAATGAAATACATATTGCAACCCATTGCATGTTACAATACGATTAGCTAATGCTCGTGGTGGGTTAGTATGCTAATTGTTCCTCATGTAAATTTATCTTGTCAAATCTATTTCTATATTGAGGTCTAAAGTTATCCTCTTAATTAATGTTCGATAAGCAATAATTTCGACAAAAAACTGCAAAAAAATTTAATAAAAATCAACCTTGAAAAATTCAACTTAATATGTTCCATAACAGCCAAAAATAAACTATAAAATACACCTAGCTAATACTTCATCTTAAAAGATTCATCTCCAATTTGTTTGGATACACTACATTAAAAAATACCATACGTATTCATTTGCCACTTCCTATAACTTATACACTTTCTACTTCAAAATCGAATATTAATGAAAAAAAATTTACTAAATGATTACAACATGCTAATACCAGTATTATAAAATGAGGAAAGTAATTCAAAAGGAGAACAAAGAAAAATTAGATCAGAACCCAATAGAAAAAAAAATCTTATGATCTTATCCACAATAATGACACATATAAATTATAGTCCCACTCGCACGTTGCTTCTGAAACCCACTTGGCAACTACAGTGTATCTTTTGACGAACAATGCTCCCACTTGCAAGTGATTTTGAATTCAATTGCAGCTTACTCAAAAAATTCTGCCTTCGAATCAGTTCCATATTATCACATTCCTCGCAATGCAATAACTAAAATCTAAAATTCATCTCAGCAACCTAAACATTATTTGATCGCACTTATCTTCTGAAACACATGCAGGAGGACTGGGGCTTATGTAGAGTGTTCTTCAAAAGCAGAGGCACAGCTCCAAACCTGATAGAAACGACCGTACATCACTACGATCACAACGCCTCTTCTTCCCTCCCTCTAATGGATACATACATCACATTTGATCATGCAACAGGGAATCACAACCAGACCCAGATGAGTAACTTGCAGGGGTTTCATCCAGTGCAACATGTTCCTTGCTTCTCTAACCCGCTTTCGATGCTCACCACAACCATGTCCCATCTACCGGTCCCGCCAATGCAGTCTGCATGCCAACCGCCTGCCGATATCGACGCCTTCCTGATGAACCCTACTTGTGAGATAAAGGTGATAAAGGCTGTGCTCAGTCACCTCACCATGCTTGAGGGAGGGCAAAAGAGGGAGGCTTCTATGAGTTCAGGAGATGGCCTACAAAACAATTGGTAGCTTGTTCAACCTTAAGGAGAATTTATATGTTTGTATGGTTAAAATTAACATATTAGGAACCTAGCTAGTGTGCTATTGAGCGTATACAAACAAAGCATATACATAGATGAATATGTATATAGATTACACACCAACATGTATTTGCAATTCTGAGATTGATATATTATGTCTTAAGGAATTAATATATGTTTTAAATTGTTTAATTTTTTATTCCAATGTGAGAGGGGTTTGTTCCTTTGTTATGTATTTTGCATGTAGTCTTTAAGCGAGTAAGCAAACATTATAGATGTACACGGTTAATCAAACAGCATGATGAGCCTTTATTCTGTATGTTTTAGCCATTAAATATTGTACAATATGCATGAAAGCACTATAAAATAAATAGTTTTACGATTTAAATGTATTAAAAATTTTTCTTTTAAAATTTTTCTTTTACTTTCAGTAGCATTTATATGACCACAACTCTCAACTGTAGGCTCTATAATCATTTATTGTTTTTTTTATCTTAAAACTCAAAGAACTCACTCATGCTGGATCACCCCCATCAAACTACATTATATTTTAAGGATGAAGATGGGTTATTAGTGAACTCCACTCTCATCATTCAAAGCATCATATTAAAAATTCACCATCATCCTCAAAGTTTGATAAGATCTCTAAATGTGAAGGCCCGTTTGTTGACCTCACTTTTGGTTGAGGTCTATAAACTTCTTTAGTAGCCTAGGTCTAGCCATAGGACTTTCCTATTGACTAGTCTTAGAAAACTAGAAAAGGTATCCTCACCGTTAGAAATTCAAAACTCTTCGCTTTACTCAACTTGAAATTCCACATATTGGTCTTAACCTCTAGCACTTAGTAGGTAAGATCATTAAGAGGGAACTCAAGGAAAGTTCCTATAGGACTACTTGGCCTTAGGATTCACCCTGGGTGTTGGTTTTGAGTTAAGGTATACCATACCCCCACAATACCCTGGCTAAGATCAATACATGAGAGCCCAAAATGGGGATTTCATTGATTCATGGTTCATTTAGAATGGATATTTATCCAATTCTACTTGAAATGCTCCTCTTGGGTCTTTTGCCCTAGACACCTCCAAATTACCTAACTGCCCTCGGAACCCAAATTTGGCCAAAATTCCCAAATTCTGCCAAAATACCCAAAACTGATCAAAACTCATTCCAAACACTTTGAATACATCCAAATTTCCAAAATTGACAAAAATTTCAAAAAATGACCAAATTACCAAAATGCCCTTCCATGGCCCAAAAATCCAAAAATTCCAAAAATTCC